CGAGCCCTGGTCCGGGAAGATCCCACATACTGCGGAGCAACTAAACCCATGCACCACAACTACTGAGCCCACGAGCCACAACTACTGAAGCCCGTGCACTTAGAGCCCACGCTCCGCAACAAGAGAAGCCACTACAATGAGAAGCATGCGCACTGCAACAAAGCGTAGCCCCTGCTCACTGCAACTAGAGAAAGCCCGGGCGCAGCAACGAAGACCGAACACAGCCAAAAATAAATAAATAAATAAATTTTAAAAAATACAGTGATCAACAGAGTGTGGTATCATCTAGATGTATATGTTAAATAGAACACAGTAGAGTCCAGAAATGTATATGCATATGATCAATTGACTTTCAACTAAGGGTATGAAAGTAATTTAATGAGAAAGGACAATCTTTTCTACAAAGGATTCTAGAACCGGTGGATTTAGGGAGAAAATGGACCTCAATCCTTACCTCACACCATTCACAAAAATGAACTCAAAATGGATCATAAACCTAAATGCAAAGGCAAAATGATAAATCTTCTAGAAAAAAACATAGCAGAAAAATTTTTTGTGACCTTAGGGTAAATGACATTTTTATACTGAACACCAAAAAACATGAATCATGAAAAAAACTGATAAATTGGGCTTTCTCAAAATGAAAAACTTCTTCTCTTCAAAAGATACCATTTTCTTAACAGTAAAAAGACAAGTCCCAGACTGAAAGAAAATACTTGCAACACGTATATTGAAAACATGAAGCACTCTTATAATGCAATAATAAGATGGCAAACAACTCCGTTTTCTTTTTAACACCTTTATTGGAGTATAATTGCTTTACAGTGTTGTGTTAGTTTCTGCTGTAAACAAAATGAATCAGCTATATGTATACATATATCCCCCATCCCCTCATTCTTGCTTCTCCCTCCCACCCTCCCTATCTCACCCCTCTAGGTGGTCACAAAGCACCGAGCTGATCTCCCTGTGAGATGCAGTTGCTTCCCACTAGCTATCTATTTTACATTTGGTAGTGTATATATGTCAATGCTACTCTCTCACTTCGTCCCAGCTTACCCTTCCCCCTCCCCCTGTCCTCAAGTCCATTCTTTATGTCTGTACCTTTATTCCTGTCCTGCCCCTAGGTTCATCAGAACCTTTTTTTTTTTTTTTTTAGATTCCATATATATGTGTTAGCATACGGTATTTGTTTTTCTCTTTCTGACTTACTTCACTCTGTATGACAGAATCTAGGTCCATCCACGTCACTACAAATAACTCAATTTCATTTCTTTTTATGGCTGAGTAATATTCCATTGTATACATGTGCCACATCTTCTTTATCCATTCATCTGTCAATGGACACTTAGGTTGCTTCCGTGTCCTGGCTATTGTAAATAGTGCTGCGATGAACATTGTGGTACATGACTCTTTTCGAATTATGGTTTTCTCAGGGTATATGCCAGTAGTGGGACTGCTGGGTCATATGGTAGTTCTATTTTTAGTTTTTTAAGGAACCTCCATACTGTTCTCCATAGTGGCTGTATCAATTTACATTCTCACCAACAGTGCAAGAGGGTTCCCTTTTCTCCACACCCCCTCCAGCATTTATTATTTGTAGACTTTTTTTTTTTTTTTATTTGTAGACTTTTTGATGATGGCCATTCTGACCGGTGTGAGGTGATACTTCATTGTAGTTTTGATTTGCATTTCTCTAATGATTAGTGATGTTGAGCATCCTTTCATGTCAAATAACCCAGTTTTAAATGGGCCAGTGATTGGAACTGACACTTTGCTAATAAAGGTATACAAATAGTTAATTAGCACATGAAAAGTTACTCAACATTTTTCATTATCAGAGAAATGCCAAGATACTACTACACACCCTCTAGAATGGTTAAATTTAAAAGTCTGACAAAACCATGGGTTAGCAAGAATGTGGAGCAACTGGAATTCTCCTACATTGTTGGTGAAAATGTAAAAGTGTGGGACCACTTTGGAGGAAGGTCTGGGAATTCCTTATAAAACCTACTATGCACCTACCCTATGCCCCAGCAGTTCTACACTTACCCTAGAAAATGAGAATATATGTCCAAACAAGGTCTTTTTATATGAATGTTTATAGGAGCTTTATATAGTAGCAAGCATTTACTGGATGCCTACACTGTAATCCTGTGCTGGGTACACAGGGATGGATCAGACACAGTTGGAAGGAAACAGACACACATACAAATACACCCAGACATGGTCTACACATACAGCCATACATGTACACATAACATACACATAGACACAGGCATGTACACACAGAGAAACATGCACAGACACACACACACATGCACACAGAGACACGGACATGTACATGTACAGAAGCGTACGCACAAACTCACATGGACACACAGACACACACGCACACACACAGCCATTGTACCATAAAGCAAAAATTCCTAATACAAAGGCATAGACAAAACACTTTGGACATCAACAGTTTAGCAAATATTTACTGAGCATCAGGAAGACCAGGAAACAGAGGGGGAGGTGCGCATGATGTCAGGGAATAAGTAGAGGACAGAAGGGCATCCCAGGGTGATAGAACAGCTCCTGTGAAGGCCCGGGGGTCAGAGAGGGCTGGGAACAAGCACATATAGATTGCTCAAAATAGGCCACAGCAAGAGCCCATATTGAAGTAGAACGGAAGGGCTGAAACATGAGTGGCCTTGACTGTCCCCATAAGGGGTGGTGGTCCCAGTGAGAACGGTGGGTCGGCACAGTCAGGAAGAGCCCAGCAGCTAAAAGCCTAGTGTCTGAATCGGAGACATAGGTGCTAGTCCCAGCTTTTGAGCGTCACCATCTCCTTGAGCCTCATTCCCCAATGTGATGTGTATTTATTTAACAAGCCCCTTCTATTACCAGGCTCTGTCATAGATGCCGGGGATACACCAGGGAATAAACAAATCAAAACCAAACCCCCTGCCTTTGTGGAGCTTACCTTCTTGTTGGGGAAAGTAGTCAATGAACATAGAAATAAATATAGACAAATAATATGTCAGGCAATGATAAGTGCTCAGAAGAAGCTCAGGCAGAGCAAGGGGTCAGAGACTGACATGGCTGCTGTTCTTCTAAACAAGAGTCAGCAAAGAGTGCTGTTATAACAGAGACATGAATGAAGGGAGGAAGTGGGCGTAAGGTGGATGGTTTCAGAGAGCTGGAGGAGCATATGCAAAGGCCCTGAGGTCAGCGTGTTCCCGCCATGCGTTCCTGGAACAGCCTGGAGGCCAGTGTGGGTGGAGCAGAATGAACGAGGGAGGGCAGAACAGGACGTGGGGACAGAGTAGGGCATTAGAGACCATCGTAAGGACTTAGACTCTCTCTTGGGGTAAAATGGGAATCCACTGGAAGGCTTTACACAGATGTGACACAATCTGACTTATATTTACCAGATCACTCTGATGCCAAGAGGGGAATAGACTGAAGTGGGGCAAGGGCAGCACGTATTGCAATAATCCAGTTGAACAATGATGGTCCCGTTGGTGTTTAAAAAAGATGTCCTCACTATAGGTAAGCCATTCGATTCATTCTGTTTTCATTTTATTTTCCATATAATGTCACAAATAATTTGCCAACCATTGCTCTAGACTAACCTCATTTTCCAGATGAGGAAACCGAGGCTCAGGAAGGAAAAGAGATCAGCTCAGGCTAAGAAAGATCTAGGGATTTCTCTCACACCAAAACGGCAGAGCCACTTCTCCCACAGGGGTGGTGGTGAAAGGTCCCTACAGGTATATAAACAGAAATGGGGTGAAGAATAGAGGAAGGGGTCTTACACTTCCAAGGTTCCTTCTAAGCTTGAAATGGAGGGACTCTATGGCCAGGTCACCTGGAGTGTGACTTAAGAATCATCTTCCCAAGCCTGTGACCTGGAAGGACAGACACAGGCTGAAAAAGGGGATACTTTCTTCCCAGATCCTTTGATGTGGAATCACTCAAAGATGTCAAAGACAGGGCAAGCCTGAAGGCAGGAGAAATCCTACAGCCCCCCAAGAACTGAACCTATATCTGATCCTTACTCTTCTCATAATAGAATCAGATGGGCAGGCTTGGGTAGAAAGGGGCGTTTCCCCTACAAACTCACCCACTGGGATGCACTATATATACCTTGTGCTAACAGGGACACTGTTCTGGCCTATTTGGAATCCCTGAGTGAGCCTCTGAGCCCCTGACTCGCTCCGGGGATACCCCCTCAGTCTTGCATCTTCACACCCTCCCTCACCAGCCATCAAGGTAGCCTCTGTGGGAAGCAAAGGCTGCATCAGGAATGACGTTAACACAGAAGAAATTACAAAATGGTAGCACGATGCCCCTGGAGCGCTATTCCGCACTCACTGCTTCATCTGTAACACAAGTCTCTCTAACAGGCTGTTATGGGTGGTATTGCCCCCAGATTCACATGTGGAAGTCCTACCTTCCATGACCTCAGAAAGTGACCTTATTAGAAATAGGATCCTCACAGGCGTAATGAAGTCAAAACAAGGACATTAGGGTGGGACCTAATCCAACAAGGACATTAGGGTGGGACCTAATCCAATCCTCATACTAAGGGAAAATCTGGACACAGACACGCATAGAAGGGGACTTCCCTGGGGGTCCAGTGGTTAAGAATCCACCTTCCAATGCAGGGGACGTGGGTTCGATCTCTGGTAGGGGAACTAAGACTCCACGTGCCGCGGGGCAACTAAGCCCATGCGCTGCAACTACTGAGCATGTGAGCCACAACTAGAGGGCCTGTGTGCCGCAACTACAGAGCCCATGCGCTCTGGAGGCCACATGCCACAACTAGAGAGCTGCAACTACTAAGCCCGCGCACCACAACTAGAAGAGAAGCCCACAGGCTGCAACGAAGAGCCCGGCGCCACAACTAAGACCTGACGCAGCCAAAAATAAAATAAATAAATAAATAAATATTTTTTGAAAAGACATGCATAGAGGGAAGATGATGTGAACACACAAGAGGAAGACAGCCATCTACAAGCCAAGGAGAAAGGTCTGGAAGAGATCTTTCCCTCACAGCCCTCAGGAGGAACCAACCCTGCTGATACCTTTATTTTGGACTTTCAGCCTCTCAATCTGTGGTACTTAGTTACGGCAGCCTCAGCAAACTAATTAACAGGCCAAGAGATTATTTAAGATGACCTTCACTACAGGTGCTAGAAGCCAGCTTTGGGGCTAGGACAGAAGAGGAAGGGTGAGTGCCAGTCAGAGGCATGGGAAGGGATGAGGGCCCTGAGACAACATTCTGGAGCTTGAAGCAGGTGTCTGTGCAGCTCCCAACCACCCTCTCTGCCCTCCAGTTTCCCCTAACCCATTGGTCCTGCATTGGCAATTGTGGCCAAGACCTGAGACCTTGCACCACACCTATAGGTACACAATGACCCGGGAAAACCACATACTGTTACAGCTCAGAGGAGGTGAGTGCTGGAGGCCTGAGTCCCAAGAAGAAGGGAGGGTGGCTCAGAGTCCTGGGTCCTGAGAGACAGGGTCTTTGGGACCAGAACTCTCTCTTACTGTATATATGAACTGTTCCTAATATTTATGTTAATAACCATATTAATAATAATACTCTTACAGTCCCCAACTGAAAACTCTTAATATATTTTTACATAAAATTTAGACTTTTACCAGCACCATTCTTACTGGGGCACTTTTCTCTATTAAAAATAAATATTCATTTATACCATAGAAGTCACAGAAACAGTACCAAGTCTGAAAGAACACAAAAGACATCTCTACTTCATGTTACATCAGAAAGCTTATATATATATACACATATAGATACACATATATATGTGTATATATATATGTGTGTGTGTGTATGTGTGTGTGTGTGTATATATATATATATATATATATATATATGAAATAGGATTTTCCAGCCATGAACAAGAAATCTGAATGACACAACGTGTTCATGGTACTGACACTGACACGTGGGTTAGATACGATGGCAATCGGTCATTCAGGGGTGCCGGAAGTAACACTGAAGCCCGCATTACCCTATTCAGCCTTCCAGAAGGTCACGGAAGAGGCTGGTGCCATGACGTGTTCAGAGGATGAGGCCTGGGCTGAGCAGGAACCACTGCAAGTGACGGGTGAGGAGGCCAAGTTGACTTCCGGTGGCTATGGCCACCGGATGGGTGCTGGGGCAGGGGCCAGGCTGGAAACATGCGAGGCAATTTGGACAGGGAGAAAAGTTCAGTGGGTGAAAGCCAAGGGTTTGACTTCCTAGTGTGGCTGGAGAAGTAGGGATTCTATAACCCAAAGAGATAAAAGTGTAAGCAAGGCCATTTGGGGAGGCACCGCTCGCCCCGCCCCGCCCCGCCCTGCAGGCCTAGCGCGGCAAAGACCAGCGCGTTCTAGGTCCCCCGGCTTGCCAGCCACTCGGCGTCCTGCGCATGCGTACTAGCAAGACAGCCTGGGATAGGCCAATGGGGTGTGGCGTTCCTCCAGGCTCATCCAATGAGCTCATCAGATGCTTTCGTATCGACCAATGGGGCTTCGAGTTGATCTGTCCGGTGAAGCAGGCCCCGCCTTCCGGGCCTCGGAGACACTAGAAAGAGAAGGACCGGCTGGGTGGGTGGAGCGTTCCAGGGCGTTCCTTCAGCACAAGGAGATTCTTGTGAGATCATATAGAGGCCAGGAGGAATTCTGGTCCCTTAAAGAGTAAAAGGGTGTCTGGGGGCCCAGATTCCTGGGTCCTGAGGAAACAGAGGCGGGGGGCGGGGGGGGGCGGGGCGTGCGGGACTCCTGGAGCAGAGGGGGGTGAGGGCCGGGGCCCTGCGCTCTTGGGTCGGAGAGGGGGAGAAGCTGGGTGCCCAGAATCATGTGTCCTGACAGAAAAGGTGACTGAACCCAAACTCCTGGATCCCTAGGTAGGACAGGGCTTAGATCTCAGAATCCTGGGTTCTGATGAAGCTGGGAGCTGGGGACTGAGGTTCTTGGGCCGCGAAAGAGCGTAGGTTTGAAGCTGGACTCCGGAGTCTGAGGGAGAAGGGCCTTTGGGCCAGATTACGGATCCAGAGGTTGGAGGGTATGGGGCTGTTGAGCTCCTCGGTCTAGGCGGCTGAGTCTGAGAAGTACAGCTACGGAAACTGGGGCTTGTTAACTAGTTAACTTGCCCAAACTCACAAGCTAGATCGGGACAGACTGACTTTAGAGATCATCGTTTTATTTTTTTTGCGGTACGCGGGCCACTCACTGCCATGGCCTCTCCCGTTGCGGAGCACAGGCTCCAGACGCGCAGGCTCAGCGGCCATGGCTCACGGGCCCAGCCGCTCCGCCGCATGTGGGATCTTCCCGGACCGGGGCACGAACCCGTGTCCCCTGCATCGGCAGGCGGACTCTCAACCACTGCGCCACCAGGGAAGCCCGAGATCATCGTTTTATATACCCGTAAACTCGGCCCTGAAGTCAGTACTTGTTGCCAGAACTTAGATTTAATCTCGTTCCATGTGGTTGAAAAGCTGCTTCTCCATCAAATCACAGATCCTGATCGGTTCTTCCAAACGTCTCTAAGAGAAGCCATGGGAGCCTGTCATTTCCAGGTTTTACTGTTCCTCTTTCTCCTAGGAGCCCCGACCTTGATCTGTATGTATTGGGGATGTGGGGGGAGAGCGGCTGGGTCACGGAGGATGGATTTCTGGTGAAAAGGGAGTGGTTTGGGGCCCCACATTGAAGGGCACGTGCTTATCTTTATCTCATTTTATCCCCAGTGGCACAAAACTTGCGTTGTCAAAAGAGTGCATTCGTGGGCTTAGAAGCGGATCCAGTAGAGACATTTAACTGGACCACAGACAAAGCTGAGACTTGTGACAATGGGGCATTGTGCCAGGAAACCGTGCTGATGATTAAGGCTGGTAAAATGAGAAAGAGGCCGTTGGGCTGGTGGGGCAGGGGCAGGGGGAAAGGTGATTATGGCCATGTTAACGCGGTTCCCCCTTCCCCAGGCCAAACTTCAGGCGCTGCCCCCCCATCCACTTTCCTTCCCTCTTGTCTCACAGCAGGAACCAAGACAGCAATTTTGGCCACTAAGGGCTGCAGCTCAGACGGGGCACCGGCAATAACGATTATCCAGCACACGCCAGCCCCTGGCCTAGTCGCCATCTCCTACAGTAACTACTGTGAGGACTCCTTTTGCAACAACAAAGAGGACTTACATGAGTTATGGAGGACAGAAGAGACTGACGGTACCCTGGGAGGGGAGAGACGGGTGCTGAGAGAAACTCCATGCAGCCCTGAAAAAACGGGGCTTACTCTGCTTAGGTCCAAGTGCGCCATACACAAAAGGACCTCAGACCTTTGGCTTGTCTTTCTTTTTCTAAATTGTTACCTTGAGGTCTGGAAACGCTGCTCCGAGCAGAGGGACATCAGTGAAGGCTGGAGTGTAAATGGGGTTTGGGGTTTATTAAGCAATACAATGTCAGTGGAGGTTTCTGAGCAGGGTGGTGACATCGTCCATCTAGCAAGCACTGCTTCCCCCTTTGCCGCATGGCCACAGGCCAGTTCCCCCATTGGTCCTCAAGGCCTATAGAAATCTGGCCCCGCCTATCTTTTCAGCTCATTTCCTTCTCTTCCTTCTCTCATTTATTGTATTCTACTTGGGGCTAGGATTCAAAATATTTAACAGTGGAGATGGTACTGACCAATCAGAATGGATGCTGGCTATAAAAATACAGTCCAGTCCCACCTGTGCCTACCAGCTGAGTATCAACACCACAACTTCTCACAATTCTCCAATCCACCAAGCCGGCTCACACCTCCAGCCCTTGGTCCTCGCTGTTTCCCTTGCTCCCCTCCCTCCTCCCCCTCCCCCATTTTCACATAGCTAACCTCTGTTCTTCCTCCATCTCCACTCAGGCGTCGGCTCTGGGAAAATACCTAACCAAATTATTTTAGGTACTTAGGTGGTCCTCCATTTCTTTGCCACTAGACCTTGGACACAATGCCTACTGAATTGTATGGTAGTTAATTACTTACATGTCTGTCTCCTTCAAGGCAGTGATCCTAGCTGGCAGGAACTGTGTCCTTTTCATATCTGTATCTCCACACCTAAGCACAGAGTTCGGAAGTCATGTTGGATGGGGTTCTGACAGCACAGAAATCAGTTGGAGAGGGGTGGGGAGGTGGTAGTAACAGTCCTTGAGTAGAGAGGCATCAGCAGGAAAGACTGGAGGAAGAGAAGGCAGCAAGGGGAGGCAACTCAGAGGCGGGACTCGCCCTTAATTGTCCCTCTCTCTCCCCCTTCAGCTCCCAGAAGGTCAACAGACCTCCACTGCCCAACCTGTCTGGCTTTGGGGTCCTGTTTGAATGCTCCTTCTCTTTCCTGCCCCAACGATACAAATCAATGCTATCAAGGAAAACTTCAGGTCACTGGAGGTAAACTGAACATCTGATGGTTTCAGAGGCTGGAAAACCAGTCATCTGAGTGTAGCCCAAGAGGTTCTGACACTCAGGGTTCCAGGAATGAGGGAGGCGTGGACTCCTCTCTGATTTCCTAAAACATCTATGTGTCTCCCCATCCCTCCTTGTTCCACAGGAGACCTCAGCGCACCTTTGGAGATCAAAGGCTGTACATCCACAGATGGCTGCAGGCTGATGTCTGGGATCTTTACAATAGGGCCCCTGTGGGTGAAGGAAACGTGTCCACTCAGGTCTGTCTCTCCCCGAAAGGTTGAAAGTGGGGCCACATGGCTTCACACTTCAGTCTGGAGGTTAGAGCTACTGCTGCCACTGTCGCTGCAAGCGCTTGTCCATTGAGTAGGTGCTTCGGGTCCCGGGTCACGGGACATCTCTTCTGAGTGGTCATCAGCAAGCTGAGGGGCAGGTGGAAGCCTGAAGAACAGTCCCAGTGGATGCATCTGACATTTCTAATAAAGTTTCTGCCGTGATGTGTGTATGCCTCAAAACTAGAAGTGGCATTATTGAGCTAAAAGGGCCCTTAAAATTCATCTCCTCCAACCTACACATTTTGCAGAAAGGGAATCAAAGATCTCGAAAACTTTAATGAATTTCTCACACTTACATAGCTATGGGCAGAGCCAGAACCAGAACTCTGATGTTTTGACCTAAAGTCTGGTTTTCCTTTCACTCTAATAGGTTTCCTTGTCTTGCTAGCTGGACAAGAGGCTAATGTTGTCCTCCTCCAGAACGCTCCCAACCCAATTGTAAGGCCAACGTCACCTGCCTTGGGGTTCTAATATTTCCCTGGGAGGTGTGGCAGAATGAGAAAAATCAGACTCTAAATTCTTCAATTATAGTGGCCCCATCTCCCTCTATCCTGTTTGTCCCTTGCCCACTTTACATCATTCCTTCCCATCTCTGCTGACTACTTAATGCCTCCTCAGTGGACAGAAGGAACTTAGGAGGGACCTGGGGTTCAGTAGGGTCTGATGAATGTTGGTGAAAAACTATTGGGTGGGGAGATTCTTTTTTCACATTCTTAGGCTTATTTATTTAACTTATTACTCAAGAATACGTAAAGTCTATGTTATTGTAAAATACTCCAGTGATATAGGAGCTGTATAGAGCAAAGATAGAGTAAAGGGGAACAGACTTTTTTTCATTTTTTTAAAAAACAGCCTTATTGAGGCTTAATTGACATACAATAAACTGCACTGGGAGTGGGAGGAGAGTTTTAATACAAACTGTTGACCCCTCCCACAAAGGACAGGGGAGTCTGATCATAGTATAGTCCAGCCAAGTTCTTTCTAGAAAGTTCTCTAGTTCTTACTAACTCTTTGAGTTAAAGGCCCACTCCAGCTACTACGTTATCTTTATTCCCAGGCATCCAGTTCTCCATTGTGTCAGTTTGGTGAATCTCTCTAAAGAAGGAGCGGAAACACCAACAAATAAAACTTTAACTTAATGAGGGGACATATAAATTTGGGAAATTACAAGCATTCAGAGCCTTGACTGGTAAATACTATTTGGGGTAAAACACAAAATCAAAAACAAAAAACGAACCGAAAAAGCCAAGTAGCTGTTTCCCATAGGACACTGGCTTCTTAATGGCACCGAAGACAGTCGCAGAAGACACTCCTGAGTAAATGGAGGAGAGCCATAATTTTTAAAAATTTGGCCTGTGAATTGTTTTGGTATTTTTAAAATTATATCTGTCATCTGCCAAAGAGCTTTATGCAGCATGTACAAATTTCTCAGTCCACAAACTCAAGTGTGCCGACTTCCTTAATTTTTAAATATATAATATAAACTATTTAAATATATTATTTCTTTTTATGATAATTTTGTTTTTAAATATATTATTTTTTATGATAATTTTGTTTATAACAATCCCCCATTCTACCTAGTGGAGTAACCAGTCTGAGTAAACTCGGTCATGTCAGGGTTTTCGCAGTCATTTCAGATCTAAGTTCAGTCAATTCAGGGCTTGTTTTCCTTTCCACTCTCCTCACCCAGGGCTTTGCTATAGTGCTGGTGGGCAGAAGGTGACTGTCTAGTTTTCACCTGTCATGATGCTCATGTCCAGGTTCTCACTGATGCCTGGGTTCTCAGCTTCCATTCCTGCTGGCTTCCACTGGGAAATCTTCAACCCTGTCTGGGGATTCATGGGCTCCATGCAGGCCCTGTAAGCTCTGCTATCCCTCTTAGCGACTTCGGGGCCTCTTCCAACTGCTCTCAAATCCCACCGAGGTCCTTCAGGAATCTAAAGCAGCCTAGGAATCCCATATAGGTGATGAAATTCCTGAAGATCTGGAGAAAAGATAATTTCGTAGAGACTTGCTTTCTCCCAAGGTACTTGAGAACGAGATGCGGCCTAGACCCTACAATTTATCACCCACCATACACAGACCACTATCACACATTCTTCTCAAACCTACTTTTTCTTTTTCCAACAATCATGCCATAGGAATTCCCTGGCGGTCCAGTGATTGGGACTCTGCGCTCTCAATGCTGAGGGCCCAGGGCTGGGGTTCAATCCCTGGTCGGGGAACTGAGATCCCACAACAAACAAAACAACCATGCCATAAAGCCTTCATTCTTAGACTGAAACTTAAAAATTCCAAGTCTAACAAGTCAAAAGTTGGGCCTTTGGAATTACATCAACTTCAATTTACATAGCCTACTCTGAAATTTCAGGGCTGAACAGGAAGGTATTTCTGGCTCTTTGCATTTCTAGGGTAATAGGCCTACTGACTGACTGGAGGAGAAGGGACAAGAGAATTAGTACAAAGAATGGAGGCGTGGTGAGGTAACAGTAATAGCATCATATCACCCTGCCGTACGTGTGCTTCACCCACCCGGATTTAGACTCCATCATCACACGTGATATTCATTGCTCCCTCCAGGGCTGTGTTCACGTCCCTTCCTCCCTGAAATTCCATTTCCTCTTCCCACCTACCCACCCCAGAGGGCCCCACTAGACATCTCACTGCCAACTCCAGCAGACCTTTTCTGACTTCTCTGGCACCCACTGATCTCCCTCAGCATAGCCCCAGCACATCTGCCAGCCTTCCTTAATATCTTACAGTTTCCCACACAACGTATAATCTCCCCTGTCAAGGTAGCAGCACTTCAGGGACAGGCATTATTTCCAACAGCTTTACAACTTAAGAGCACCCGTAAGATGTGACTGGCAACTTGAGCTTATGGGTCTTCTGCTTATTGAAGTGAACCAAAGTCCACTACACGTGCACACACACCCCTCTCCAACAACAAAACTAACCACCATCAACTGCAGCCAATTACCTGAAACTAGATGCTGATGTGAAAAAAAAAAGTAAGTTCTAGAGAGTAGACAAGAAAAGAGGTAGAAGTCTAAGAAGGACGGGCACTGCAGAAAGAATTTGAAAACTCCTCTCTTTTGTCAATGATGTTATAGTGGCCAGGTGGGCACATGCTCGTTTGGGGCAGCGATGTCAGAGTGGGAGATGACTTTTTTTTGGTTTTTTGTTTATTTATTTATTTTGGCTGCGTTGGGTCTTCACTGCTGCACGCGGGCTTTCTCTAGTTGCGGCAAGCAGGGGCTATTCTTCATTGCGGTACGTGGGCTTCTCATTGCAGTGGCTTCTCTTGTTGTGAAGCACGGGCTCTAGGCGCGTGGGCTTCAGTAGTTGTGGCATGTGGGCTCAGTAGCTGTGGCACACGGGCTTAGCTGCTCCGCGGCTTGTGGGATCTTCCCGGACCAGGGCTTGAACCCGCGTCCCCTGCATTGGCAGGCAGATTCTTAACCACTGCACCATCAGGGAAGCCCTGCATTATGTTTTTTTAAAAAGTAAGAAATTTCCTTTGCAGCAAAATATCACTTGTATAAATTAAGGCACGGAGTTCCCTGGTGGCCTAGTGGTTAGGATTCAGGGCCTTCACTGCCGTGGCCCGGGTTCAATCCCTGGTCGAGGAACTGAGATCCTGCAAGCCACGTGTGGCCAAAAACAATTTTGGCATGGCCAAAATAATTAATTAATTAATTAACTGAACAACGCTACAGTCAGAATACAGAACAGTTTCTTCATCTCAAAAACTCTATTGTTCTACTCCTTTGTAATCACATCCCCCTCATCCAAGTCCTTGACAACCACTGATCTGTTCTCTGATCACTATAGATTTGTTTTTTCAAAAAAGTCATAGAAATGGAATCATACAGAATGGAACATTTTGAAACCAACTACTTTCACTCAGCATGATGGCTCTGAGATTCATCCGTGTTGTGTATATCAACAGCTTGTTCCTTTTAATTGTGAAATATTATTACATTGTATGGACATACCACTGTTTGTTTATCCGTTAACTCATTGAAGACATCTGGGTTGTGTCTAGTTTGGGGCAGTTATAAAGTAAACATTTGCGTACAAGTGTTTGCTGTAAACATTTGGGTACGAGTTTTTATGTAGACATAAAATTGTATTTCTCTAGGGTAAATACTTAGGAGTAGGATTGCTGGGTCATATGGCGAGAGTGTGTTTAACTTTACGAGAAACTGAGAAACTGTTTTCCAGAGCGCTTGTATCATTTTTTTATTCCCACTAGCAATGGATGAGAATTCTAGTTTTGCAGTTTTCAGGATACAGGTCCTGAACATATGTTGTTAGAGTCATACTTATTTCACCTTTACGGGGCTACTGTAAATGGTACTTTTAAATTTCAGTTTTTTATTGCTGGTATAGAAAATAAGTGCAATTGATTTTTGTGTGTTGAATCTGGCTAAACTCATTTATTAGTTCTAGGAGCTTTCTTGTGGGCTCCATGAGATTTTCTAAGTAGACAATCATGTCATGTGCAAATAGGGACAGTTTTTTTTTTTCTTTCCAGCATGTCGACCTTTTCTTTCTTTTTTTTCTTATTGTAGTGGTTAGGACTTCTAGTACAATGAATAAAAGTAGTGAGAGTGGACACTTTGCTTTGTTCCCAGTCTTAGGAAATTTCTTAAAAAATTAAACATACACTTGCCGTAGGATTCTGCCATTCCTTTCCCAGGTACTACCCAAAAGAAACAAAAGCATATGTCCATACAAAGATTTTTACACAAATGTTCATAACAGCTTTATTTATAATAGCCAAAAACTGGAAACAACTCAAATGCCCATCAACAGTGTAAAAATAAATAAATTATGACATGTCTTTATGATGGAAAACTACTCAGTAAAAAAAGGAATGGGGCTTCCCTGGTGGCGCAGTGGTTGACAGTCCGCCTGACAATGCAGGAGACACGGGTTCGTGCCCCGGTCTGGGAAGATCCCACATGCCGCGGAGCGGCTGGGCCCGTAAGCCATGGCCTCTAAGCCTGCGCGTCCGGAGCCTGTGCTCCGCAACGGGAGAGACCACAACAGTGAGAGGCCCGCGTACCGCAAAAAAAAAAAAAAATGCAGTGTACTATATGTCAATTATACCTCAATGAAGCTGTAAAAAAAAGCACAAACTGATAACACTTTTTCTGTTTTTCAGTATTACCTAAAATTACCTTTTCTTGATAAAATTGGAGTAGAGATGGAGGAGAGAATTATTATATTGAGAAAACTAATTTTGTGTTTGGTGGTCTGCCAGACTCCAATCCATCCCATCTGTTCCTGCTGTCACCAATAAAGCAACTGGCTTCCTGTGGACACAGTAAAATCTCTCTGTCTTTGACAGATATTCTCCTCCGCCTCCCAACTCCCTGACCCAGGATTTGCCTCAGGAAGCTGCCATGGCTTGCCAGTCACCTATGAAGGGCTCCCTTCTATGGTAACCAGAGGGGCTTTCTTGTATCCATTTCCATTTCTCTGTTTTTGGGGGATTTGTCTGTTCATTTGTTTGTTTGTTTGTTTTTTGAGGTACGCGGGCCTCTCACTGTTGTGGCCTCTCCCACTGCGCGGCACAGGCTCTGGACGCGCAGGCCCAGCGGCCACGGCTCACGGGCCCAGCCGCTCCGCGGCATGTGGGATCTTCCCGGACCAGGGCACGAACCCGTGTTACCTGCATCGGCAGGCGGACTGTCAACCACTGCGCCACTAGGGAAGCCCCATTTGTTTGTTTTGCCACACCCTGAGGCTTGTAGGATCTTAGTTCCCTGACCAGGGATTGAAATCGTGCCCCCTGCAGTGGAAGTGCAGAGTCCTAACCACTGGACCGCTAGGGAATTCCCTTTCCATTTCTCTTTAATTTTCCAATGTGTGACATATTATAATGTCCAGATATTTCTTGGTGTTATTGCAGAAGTTAAGGTCTTCCATGTTCTCCCACATCCTAAGCCAAAATCAAAATCTCAATATGTGTGCTTTTTTAAAATAAATATTTTTATTTATTTTTGGCAGCATTGGGTCTTCATTGTGTGCAGGCTTTCTCTAGTTGCGGCGAGCGGGGGCTACTCTTCGTTGCAGCGCGAGGGCTTCTCACTGCGGTGGCTTCTCTTGTTGCGAAGCACGGGCTCTAGGCACGTAGGCTTCAGTAGTTGTGGCTCACAGGCTCAGTAGTTGTGGCTCGCGGGCTCTAGAGCGCAGGCTCAGTAGTTGTGGCACACGGGCTTAGTTGATCTGCGGCATGTAGGATCTTCCTGGACCAGGGTTCGAACCCGTGTTCCCTGCATTGGCAGGAGTATTCTTAACCACTGCGTCACCGGTGAAGCCTTCAATATGTGTTTTTAGCACGAGGAAGCTGAGTCTCTGGTCCTAGTCCAATATTACTCCCAACTGCTTTGATTTTATGCCTTCAGAATCAGACTCTATCACATGGTACCCTTCCTTGTTGTCAGCATTAACCAGTCCCTGTGAAAAGTCCTGTCCTCAGTTGATAACTTCACCCTTGTCACTGCCTCCTCTCCATCCTTTCTCTTATTACCCAGTAACTGGGTCTCCACCCTTAACCGTCTCACCTCTAATGACTTTTTCTTTCTGTCTCCCTCCTTGTTGTCACAATTGAAATACTGTACCAACCGTGAAATCTCAATTAAATGCCTCTCCCATTAACAACTATAACATAAAGAAAGAGGGTAAAGGAGTCTATACGATCATAAAGTTTCTACATTTCACTTGAAGTGGCAAAATGTTGATTATAAGTAGATAGTGAAGAGTTAAGTATGAGTATTATAGTCCCTAGAACAATGCTAAAAACACCATGGAAGACCAATTATTAAATTGTTAAAGACTAATCATCAGAAGAGATTAAAAATAGGGACTTCCCTGGTGGTCCTGTGGGTAAGACTCCACGTTCCCAGTGCACGGGGCCCGGGGTCAACCCCTGGTCGGGCAACTGAGGAGGCCGCATGCCACAACTGAGAAATTTGTATGCCATAACTAAAGATCCTGAGTGCCACAACTAAGACCCGGAGCAGCCAAAATACATAAATAAATAAATAAATAATTTTAAAAAATAAAAATTAAAACATGAACCAACTATATGGTGTCTACAAGAGAATCATTGCAAATACAATGATACAGGCAGGTTAAAAATAAAATGATACACTTCCACTTCTGCTCCAAATGGAGTAACAGGGACTAAATTTATCCTCCTACATGAAACAAACAAAAACTAGACAAAATACATTGTTTTCAAGACACCTGACATCAAGCAACAAAGGGCAGTAATTCCTGAGCAAGACTGAAAGGATCCAACTGTTTCCAAATAGCTAAACTGAATTTGATAACAAAACTCAATAATATGTATAGGTAGACAAAAAAGATCCAGCACCCAACAAGGTAAAACTCACCATGTCCATGCTAGTAGTTCAAAGAAAGTTAGAATGGCTATTTTAATATAAGACAAAGTGTAATTCACATCAAAGAACACTATCAAGGGCTTCCCTGGTGGCGCAGTGGTGGAGAGTCTGCCTGCCGATGCAGGGGACATGGGTTCGTGCCCCGGTCTGGGAAGATCCCACATGCCGCGGAGCGGCTGGGCCCGTGAGCCATGGCCGCTGAGGCTGCGCGTCCGGAGCCTGTGCTCCGCAACGGGAGAGGCCACAACAGTGAGAGGCCCGCATACCGCAAAAAAAAAAAAAAAAAAAAGAACACTATCAAGAATAAAGATCATCTCATATGAAAAACAAGTCAGTTCATTAAGTGGATACAACTACTAAACATGGATGCCTTCAATAATAGAATTTCAAATCTATGAAACAAAAACGGAAGGAATTGCAGAGTGAAACATAAATCCTCAATTATAGTTCAGGATTTCAATTCCCTTCTCTCAGTAACTGATAGAACAAGCAGAGAGATCAGCAAGTATATAATAGAACTGGATAACACTATCAACCAATTTGACATAATTGACATGTATAGAACATTGCACTCTACAAGAGCAGAATACAAATTCTTGTCAAGTATACATGGAACATTTATCAAGATAGGCCATATTCTGGACCAAAACTTTAGTCACAGTAAATGTGGCAGGATTCAGGTCATAGAAGTTATGTTCTCATACCACCATGGAATTACATTAAAAATCAAAAACAGGGACTTCCCTGGCGGTTAGTGGTTAGGACTCTGCTCTTCTGCTGCAGGGGGCATGAGTTCGATCCCTGGGGTCAGGGAACTAAGATCCCACAAGCTGCTCAGCAAAGCAAAAAAATAAAATAAAATAAAAAAGAAGAAAAACTCAATAACAAGTCCAATGCAGTTCCATCTGGTTCTCCCACCACCCTACTTGGCCAAGGGTCCCAGCAGCTTGGGTGGTGGGAGAAGCACAGTGGCTAGGCAGCCCATCTTGGGAAGGACCTCAGCGTGCCCTTCAGGTAGGCACGGGGCACACACCCTCCCCACAGCCATGATGCCCAAGACTATGAAGGAGAAGCCCAGGAGGAGATGAGAAGGGTGGTCTGCTAAACCTGGTGCTGCAAAAGTGGAAAGGAAATCAAAAAGGTGGCAGGAAAAAAAAAAAGTGCAAACAAAAGGGAAAAGGGGAACAGCGAGAAAGCAGGCTGAAGTACCTAAGCAAGAAACTAAAGAGTTACTTGCAGAAAGTGGAGAAACTAAAACCAAGGAGAATCCAGGCTCTGATGAAGAAGGAGAAAAAGAAGTCTGATTAATATCATATACCATGCCTTACCAGTGGTCCCTGTTTCCCTTCTTGTACAGTCCAGAGGAATACTTTTTTCAGCTCCTTTGTAAATGCAAGTTGTTAGTAGCTCTAGAAACATTTTTAAGAAAGAGGAATTCCGGGCTTCCCTGGTGGCGCAGGGGGTTAAGAATCCGCCTGCCAATGCGGGGAACACGGGTTCGAGCCCTGGTCCCTCTTGCAGAGCAACTAAACCTGTGCGCCACAACTACTGAAGTCCATGTGCCTAGAGCCCGAGCTCTGCAACAAGAGAAACCACGGCAATGAGAAGCCCGCGCACCGGTAGCTCCCGCCCGCTGCAACCAGAGAAAAGCCCGCACGCAGCAACAAAGACCCAACGCAGCCAAAAAAAGAAAGAGGAATCCTACCTCATCCCATTTGTTAAGTGTAATTTTTTAAAAGCATACAATCATTTGCTAGTTGTTTTTTGTTTGCTTGTTTGTTTGGTTTTGGTACAACCAGAAAATAGTGGGATATGGAATACGGGAGATTTAACTGTCTTGGGTGTAGTTTTTTTTCTTTTTCTCGGTACACGGGCCTCTCACTGTTGTGGCCTCTCCCGCTGCGGAGCACAGGCTCCGGACGCGCAGGCTCAGCGGCCACGGCTCACGGGCCCAGCCGCTCTGCGGCATGTGGGATCCTCCCGGACCGGGGCACGAACCCGTGTCCTCTGCATCGGCAGGTGGACTCTCAACCACTGCGCCACCAGGGAAGCCCCTGGGAGTATTTTTTGGAGGCGTTGGTGCTCACTCTCTCCAAACTTTGACCAGGATAGAGCTTGGAGGTATTGCTAGCAATAAAAAAGGTAAGAGCGTCCGGGGAGGATGGGAAGAGACAGAACTGGATAAAGAGGTGGGGTCAGGTGCCACAGTGAGGAGGAAGGATGAGGCAGGTGGAGAGATACGATGAGGTAGAAATGTACAGGAGGAAGAGTGAGGCACAGAGGAAGAAGAGGAGAGAGGGGAGGAAAGATGTAAAGAGAGAAGCGACAAAGGCAAAAGGCAAAAGATGGAGAGAGGAGAGTCTGAGAGGGAAGAAGCCAGAGAGTTTGCAGGACGAGAAATGGAAGGAAGAGGATCTGGGAAGGATTAGTGGCAAGAGGTGAGAGAGGGGCAGAGAGAGGACAACAGTCTTTGGAGCAGGCATGAGACAGCAGGAGTCGACATGGGAAGAGCAGAGAGCAGAGGAGAAACAGACCTTTGCCCTCCATGGGACTGACTGGAAAAACAAAGACTCATTAACACTGACCCCAGGACTGTGTTCAATTACTGTCCAGTGCATCCGCCCGTGGCCATGGGTGCAGTCAAGCCTCTGAAACCTCAGTGAAGAAAATCAAGAAATCTCAAGCGTGAAGGTGATGCTCTGAGTGACAGGTGAAATCCTTTCCCTGCATCTCCACCATGTTCCCGCTGTGTGGGGATCCAATCGATAAACCACTTTCTCTGCAGGTGTGGTCTTTTTTTTTCCCCCTACAAAGAAACCTATGTATCAAATGGGAGGGTCTCAGCATGCTCAGGTTCATCAGTCAGGATGTTCTTTCTTCCCTTCCCTTCCTCGGGGTCCTGATGGAACATCAATACACATCACACTAATAAAGATGTTAAAAAATTTTTTTAAAAAAAGTACACATCACAATTGTCCTTCCTGGGGGCTTGATTGACAGCTGAAGCCTCGGTGGTGGGACTTGAGGTGAGGGTGGGAGGAGGGTCCCAGAGGGTACAGAGGGCTGGTCCTTGTCATAAAAGATTTGTCTTGTCCCGACTTAGCTGAGATTTTATTTCTTCCTGGAGCTATTCTCTGACTCCCCAGTGTAAGGAGTCCCGATCGTGTCTTTCCAGTTCATCCTTTCTTTACTTACAATTAAACTGTCCATGTTCCCTGGGGGACTGTAATTTGGGGAGGACAGGATGGACTGCATTTGCCCTGGCCTCAGTCCTAAGTACGGAATCCAACACATCCTTGGCATTTTTCTAAAGGACTACTCTCCTTTTTAAAACAAACAGGAATTTTAGACGAATGTCATTTCCCTCACTAACTGGGCCTGATTCAAAGAAGGTTAAATTCCCAGGTGTCAGAAATAATGACGTGCCTCAAAGACTGATCACTAAATGTTATCCTGGTCAGAAACACCCAGTGCCCATCTAATAAATCCACGGGACCTGGCGATGGACGTTCAGTCACCATCTGGGGAAGAGATACACAGACTTTTCATCACCGTGCAGGGAGGAGGTACAATATTTGTCCCCTGTGATTTAAAGCCAGTAACGCAGAGCCTCACTTGAAACCAGGACATAAAAATAAAGAAATATTTAAATTTAAAATTTTTTAATTAATAAAAATAAATAAATAAGGCTTCCCTGGGGGCGTAGTGGTTGAGAGTCCGCCTGCCGATGCAGGGGACACGGGCTCGTGCCCCGGTCCGGGAGGATCCCACATGCCGCGGAGCGGCTGGGCCCATGAGCCACGGCCGCTGAGCCTGCGCGTCCGGAGCCTGTGCTCCGCAACGGGAGAGGCCACAACAGTGAGAGGGAGGGAGGGAGGGAAGGGAGGAAGGGAGGGAGGAAGGGAGGAAGGGAGGAAGGACGGAAGGACGGAAGGAAGGAAGGAAGGAAGGAAGGAAGGAAGAAAGAAAGAGAAAACCAGGACACTCTAAGGGCTATGCAGTTAATGGGGACCAGAAAATCGTCTCTCGTGGTTCCAAAGAAGTTTCCATTTTTGACTCTCTGAACAGATTATAAGGAAATATTACCCTGGGGGAAAATGTAATCCCAAAGCCTTCACATACTTGTTTTTTTTTTTAAATTAATTAATTAATTTGTTTATTTTTGCCTGTGGTAGCTTTTCATTGCGGTGCGCGGGTTTCTCATTGCGGTGGCTTCTCTTGTTGCCGAGCACGGGCTCTAGGCACGTGGGCTCAGTAGTTGTGGCTCACGGGCTCTAGAGCGCAGGCTCAGTAGCTGTGGCTCGCCGGCTTTAGAGAGCAGGCTCAGTAGTTGTGGCACACGGACTTAGTTGCTCCGCAGCATGTGGGATCTTCCCGGACCAGGGCTCGAACCCGTGTCCCCTGTGTTGGCAGGCAGATTTTTAACCACTGAGCCACCAGGGAAGTCCCCACATACTTGTTCATGGCACTGAATTTACACAACTGAAAAAGGGCAAGATTACACACACACACACACACACACACACATGCCTGCACAATGCACGCACACATGGATTCCTAGTTGAAGAATGCTGAAAGGTCTAAAGCATTGGCAGAGAAATGGAGGAGGAAGTGGGAGAAATGGCAGGTTCTCAGACTGTATAAATCTTTAGCCTTTTACTAAAGCATCGGCAGAAAAAGATTTAAAACCAATCTCTAGAGATGCTTCTACCAAAAACAAACAAAAAAATTAGCACATTTCAGACAATACATGCTAAATAACTGACATATTCGATATCACCTGCTATGACAAAGAAAAAATGGAAAATAATTTATAGAAAAAAAATGAACCTTAGACGAACCGGGGGATTGGGATTGACATATATACACTACCATGTATAAAATAAATAACCAATGAGAACCTACTGTATAGCACAGAGAACTCTACTCAATGATCCGTGGTGACCTAAATGGGAAGGAAATCTAAAAAAGAGGGGATATATGTATACGTATGGCTGACTCAACTTTGCTGTACAGCAGAAACTAATACAACATTGTAAAGCAACAATACTGCAATTTAAAAAAAGAAAAAAAATGAACCTTATAATTATTCTTTATTTTTTAGGTCACTGGACTCTAATTAAAAGTCCAGAACTAATCCTTCACATTTGCAGTTGATCTTCAACAACATGTCAAGATAGTTCAATGGGGTAAGAATAATCTTTGCAACAAATGGTGCTGAAACAAGCATATCTGCATGCAAAATAAAGAAGCTGGACGCCTCACTTCACACCATATGCAAAAGTTAAGTCAAAGTGGGTCATAGACTTAATTTTAAGAGCTGATATTATAAAATTCTTAGAAGAAAATATGAGTAAATCTTTAAGACCCTGGGTTAAGAAATTAGTTCTTATTTATAACACTAAAAGGACAAATGACAAAAGAAGTTTACAGATTGGACCTTATCAAAATTTATGCTTTAATCTTCAGAAAATGAAAACTGCCAGAATGGGAGAAAAGTATTTGCAGGTCAGGTGTCAGATAAGGAACTTGTATCTAGAACATATAAAGAACTTTTACACTTCAATAATAAAATGACAAATAACCCAATTTAAAAGTGAGCTAAGGGACTTCCCTGGTGGCACAGTGGTTAAGATTCCACGCTACCAATGCAGGAGGCCCCGGTTTGATCCCTGCTCAGGTAACTAGATCGCACATGCATGCCGCAACTGAGGAGCCTGCCTGCCGCCACTAAGAGCCGGCGCAACCAAATAAATAAATAAATAAACAAAACATATTAAAATATATTAACAACTCCACCATCCCAAGAGTCCCCATTACCTTTAAAAAAAAAAGTGAGCTAAGAGGGAATTCCCTGGCGGTCCAGTGGTTGCGACTTGGCACTTCTACTGCAGGGGGCAGGGGTTCGATCCCTGGTCAGGGAACTAAGATCCCACATGATGCCAAAATAAATAAATAAATTTATTTATTTACCACAGCCAAAATAAATAAATAATTTTAAAAATAAAAAATAAAGCACACTACTGAATATCACAAAGAAGCAGCAGATTCACAGATACAGAGAACAAATTTGTGTTACCAGTGGGGGGAGGGAAGGACAAAACAGGGTCAGAGGATTAAGAGGCATGAACTACTATGTATACACAGGGAATATAGCCACTAGTTTATAATAACTATGAATGAAGTATAACTTTTAAAAATTATAAATCACTATGTTGTATACATGAAACTCATATAATATTGTACATCAACTATACCTCAACATTTTTAAAAGTTAAAAATAAAATGTCCAATTTCAACAAAAAGTTACGAGATATGCCAAGAAACAGAAAAGGGTACTTTACACAGGAAAAAAAGCAATCAGTAGAAACTGTCTTTCAGAGGTTTAGATGGTAGACTTACCAGACAAAGACTCCAAAGAGTATATTATGAATATGTTCAAAGAACGAAAAACAAGCCATGCCACAGATTTAAAAGAAAGTTTGATGATATTGATCCATCAAACAGAGAACACCGAGAGTGAGTCAGAAATTGTTTTTTTCACAAGGACCAAATGGAAATTCTGGAGTTTGAAAGTATAATAACAAAATTTTTAAAAACTCACTAGAGGGGCTCAACAGCAGATTTGAGCTAGCAAAAGAATCAATGAACTCGGTGCTAGATCAAAAGAGTTTAACCAATCTGAAGAAAAGAAAGAAAAAGAATGAAGAAAATTCAACAGGGCATCAGGGACCTGTGGGACGCTGTCAGGTTTAGCAACGTACAAATGTGGGACTACCAGAAGGAGAAGAAAGAAAGCAGCAGAAATAATAACAAGATCAACGTGGGGAGTATTGTCATCTTAACAATGTTAAGTCTCCGCATCCATGAACATGGAATGCCTTTCCATTGATTTAGGTCTTAATTTCTTTCTGCAATGCTCTGTATACACCAAACAGGTGGATTTTTGAGCAGTGCGCAAATGATACTTCAGTAAAGCTCTTTAAAAAAACAAGAATAAAAGGAAGTTTCTTGGGCGCTTACACTGTGTCCCACGGCCTGGACTATCATTCAGTCAGCAGGACAATGAGTTCTTCTCTTCTAGAGACTGGATGTTCTTGATACTAATCAGAAAGTCCTAGGCATCTCCCAGGGATTCATCTATATGCATATTACCCACCCTGCATCAACCTCATGAATTTTCATGACTGGATTTTTCCATCAAGCTAAGAGAACCAGGTCACGCCTCCTCCTCATCACTACAAAGGCTGCTTCCTACAGCCCCTGCTTATTCACTCTGCACCTAAGTGCAACCCCTGGGTGGCCCTGTGCGGTGTGCAATGTCCTCCTCCCCCAGGCTGTGAATATATGTGGCTTATATACTGCTATCATTCTCAGTTGTGCAGTGTTGGCTGTTGTTTATTTGTCCTCTCATACCCTTTAAGGTGGGCTGAATAGAAGATGATCAGAACAGTATGGCTATTTCCCTGATGATCCTACGAGTACTACTGAACTGTAAGGGATAGAATCAATGGTCCACTTCTCTGGCAACCTGCATACCTCCATCCTCCTCCTAACATTGGGAATCTGCTATGACTCTCACTGTTTCTGTTCCCACACCCCACACTAAAAAAAGAAAGAAAAAAACCACCTTATCTCTCCTTTTTCTTTCTCCCCCCACCACACACCCCACCTTCATCTCTGTCTCTCTCTACATCTATTTCTATCTCTCAGGCCTGGCATAAATTTCTCAGTGAGTCCAGGCTTTCACAGAAAGCAAGAGGTGGTGTTTCTTTGTTTTGTTTTTGTTTTCATTTTTTTAGGCCACAGAACACACCTCCTGGGATCTTAGTTCCCTGACCAGGAATTGAACCTGGGCCTCCACAGTGAAAGCACGGTGTCTTAACCACTGGACCACACCAGGGAATTCCACAAGAGGCTATTTTTAACACTCAAAGATTCTAGGAAAAGATTCATTGGGGATCTCAGGTTAGTGGAATTTCAGTGTTTGATTTTTTTTTAGGAGGGGAATACAGTAGAAATGTTTTAGTATGACAACACAAATATTATGGGTTTTATGTGAGTTTCAAAACGGAATGATCGGGACTTCCCTGGTGGTGCAGTGGTGAAGAATCCGCCTGCCGATGCAGGGTACACGGGCTCTATCCCTGGTCCGGGAAGGTCCCACGTGCCGCAGAGCAACTAAGCCCGTGTGCCCCAACTACTGAAGCCCAGGTGCTTAGAGCCCCTGCCCCGCAACAAGAGAAGCCAAGCAATGAGAAGCCAGCGCACTGCAACGAAGACCAACGCAGCCAAAAAAATTTTAATTAATTAATTTAAAAAAACCTGAATGATCAAAGTTCACTGTGTGTACTGTGGGATTTCCACATTAGTCCTCTCATTATAGGAGTAAAAAGTTACTCCTATAAAAAAGTTATAAATATATAATATGCAAAACTGGAAAGCTAATTCTATAGCGTTATCCCTGTTTCCTTCTTGCCATTTTCCCTTGGCAAATGCATGGGACCCTGACACATTCCTATCTTCAAGGAAAAGCCATGTTTGTTCGTTAATTATTACCCCTATCCTAACACAAGAAATAGATATCCCTGCTGCTTGCCTTAACTTGAGTCAATTCTGTCACTGATACTTTCACTGGACGTAGGATCTGTTTCAGCTGATCATGTTCTCTCCCTTGCACCACTGTTACTCCTTTCTACCCAACACCAACCACACCTAATCCTTCCAGGAATGCACCTATTAACTATTTCTCCTATTCAAGGAAACTAGCAGCCTCACAAAATAAAAGAAGTGGAAAGGGGCTTCCCTGGTGGCACAGCAGTTAAGAATCTGCCTGCCCATGCAGCGGACACGGGTTCGAGCCCTGGTCCGGGAAGATGCCACATGCACAGAGCCACTAAGCCTGTGCGCCACAACTACTGAGCCTGCGCTCTAGAGCTAGTGAGCCTCAAGTACTGAAGCCCACGTGCCTAGAGCCTGTGCTCTGCAGCAAGAGAAGCCACCGCAGTGAGAAGCCCGCGCACCGCAACTAGCGAAAGCCCGCACGCAGCAAAAAAGACTCAACTCAGCCAAAAATAAATAAATTAATTTTTAAAAAAGTGAAAAGGGGGTTAGTGATGAGGAATAAAAGGAGAAGAGGAGGTGATGGGTGATGGAAGGAGAGAAGGAAGAGGAGATGGAAAGGAAAGAGGAGGGTGAGAGCAAGGAAAGTGGGGAGATGGAGAAAAGGGGAAAGAGGAAAGGGAGAGGGAGGGGGAAGAGGAAGGAAACGGGAGAGAGAGAAGAGCTGTAATATTAACTATGTACCCAACACTGTGGTGAGAACTTTACACTGAATCACCTAATGGAGTCTCACCAAGTTTTAGTGGAAGGACTAAAAATAGGACCATTTTACATACAAGAGAGCAAAAGTTCAGAAAAAGTTAAATAAATTTCCCAGGATGTAACAGCTATTGAGATCAGACTCCAAATCCTAACTCTATACTATGCTACCCTTCAGGATGGATTCAAGCCATGCAGATGCCAACCACTAAAGAGATAATGTGATGTAATCGTAAGAATATCTGTTCCAAACTCAATCCTGCCCCCCCTCCAAATTATCCTTCATGAGCCTCAGTTTTCCCTTCTGTAAATGGGAGCAGCCAACTCCCCTTGCAAGATGTTGGTGGGGATTCTACACGCTCATAAGGTGCTCAATAAATAAATCCTTTCTTCTCCAGTGGTATTTACTTGACCTGTGGTCAGACAGGCTTGGGATGGGTGGGGGAGAGCAAATTTGGACCTTCAAGTCACAGGACAGCGACCCTAAGCGAGGGAAAGAAAAGAGACACTTCAAAGATGATTTCTTCTGGCGCAGAGAATTCTAACCAGATTAAAGGTAAAAACTCGAAATCAAGAAATATCAGCTAATAAAAGAATGAAACAAAGAGACACAAAAGAGGATGTGCAGAGAAGGAAGCAATAGGCATTCGGGATATCTAATTCTGTTAAATTAGTGAGAAGCCTTTGATGTAGAGAAAGACGTTAAACCAAGAAACAAAATGCAGAGAAATACCCAGATTCAGACAAAAGAGCTGGAGGAAGTTCACTTTCTTTTGTTTCCAAAAGGGAGAAAAGCCACCTTCACAAATTCTCTCATTCCACCTCCCTTTAAAAACAAAAAGTCTATTGGATTTTCTGCATAACTAATTACATCATCTGGAAAAGGAGAATGCCACAGTATATTAAAAGATGACTATACCATATCCAAGTTGAATTTTTCTAGGGAAAGAAATGTGGGCTCAGCATTAGAAAATCTAGCAATTACATCAACAGATTAAACACAAACATCACACAAAATCAGGAGCGCGAGAGAACATGATTCAGTTTTTCCTCCATCAGCTGAGGGGAAGTTTTAATTTGGTGTCACTGACTCACAGAACTAAAAGTGACAGCGATAACAGCTAACATTTACAGAACACTTACAATGAGCCAGGAATACGCCAAGAGCTTTACAGGCATTATCCATTTAATACTCAACCTTTCATTCCCACTGCAATCCTCTGAGCAAGATATTATTTATTAACTTTTTTATACAAAAGGAAATGAAGCCTCAGAGAGTTGATATAACTTGCCCAAGGTCACACAGTAAAGTAGCTGAGCTAGTTTTTTGTTGTTGTTGTTCTTGCTTTTTAGCAGTAGAATTGTTTTTTAAAAAAATAGCATCTTGGGGCTTCCCCGGTGGCGCAGTGGTTGAGAGTCTGCGTGCCGATGCAGGGGACATGGGTTCGTGCCAAGGTCTGGGAAGATCCCACATGCCACGGGGCGGCTGGACCCGTGAGCCGTGGCCGCTGAGCCTGCGCGTCCGGAGCCTGTGCTCCGCAACGCAACGGGAGAGGCCACAACAGTGAGAGGCCCACGTAAATAGAATCTTATGTCAAAACCCTCTGTATAAAACAAAGCAGAACTGTGGGTGAACGCCCTTAAGGCAGTGCAAAAACACTGATAGTTATCATTAAGAAACATACCTTGAATTCTTCTGCTAAAAGTACCTCTACCAGTTAGGCTGCTTTGATTACTCCTGTGCCCCCGTGCTCAGAACAGCACCTGGCACATAGGAGGCATTCAATAAGTATTCCTGAATGGGGGGAAAAAAAAAAAAATATATATATATATATATATATATATATATATATTAAATAAAGCATCTTAAAATAGAAACAAAATATTCCTTTAACTTGCTAAGAAATATCTTTTCCAAATCCACATCCAACATCATAAGTCATGGTGAAACACAAGAGAAACACAAGTAAAGCAAAAAGCAACAAAACATAACGCTCCTAAAACAAGGGCGCCACCTTTAGGAAATTTGACATAATTCACTAGGACAGAATAAAGAAGCATAATATATAAACATTCAAAAAGAAGATAAAATATTAATACTACTTTTTGTTGGTGGAGTTTTTAGCTTTTAACATTATGTTCAGAGGGGTGTGATTTCATCATCACTATATTTCTTTTTTCTTGTAACTTCTATCTTCAATCTATCCAAAGTATACCTTTAATATACTCACCTGCCTTGTTTTTTTTTTTTTTTGCAGTACGTGGGCCTCTACACTGTTGTGGCCTTTCGCGTTGCGGAGCACAGGCTCCGGACGCGCAGGCTCAGCGGCCATGGCTCACGGGCCCAGCCGCTCCGCGGCATGTGGGATCTTCCCGGACCGGGGCACGAACCCGCGTCCCCTGCATCGGCAGGCGGACTCTCAACCACTGCGCCACCAGGGAAGCCCAACCTGCCTTGTTTTTGTTAGCTGGCTATAAGCTCCTGGAGAGGAAAGACTGCTGGATTGGTACCTGGGTATTCAGGGTGTATAGCAGGGAAATTTACACCTAATAAACAAATGAATGAGTGCTGCATTTGGGGGTGCTGTGGAGGCAATAAACACCATTTTCATAGGGACTGAAACCAAGCACAACCCTTTGGGACTCTCCCCATGTCCCCTGTCTCTTGAAGTAAAAGACTTTGCTTCAGGCCGCCCCTGAGTCTCAAAAGGCTGGCTCAAGAGTTAATGATTAGGAAAATGTGAACATGTAGTAACAAAGAAAAACTGTTGGGCCAGGAACCTGGTAACAATTTAAACAGTAGGTCAGCCATATAGCTGAGTCACAGGAGTTTTAGTTCCCCCCTAAAGGACACAGATAACAATGTCTGATGCATATTACTGGTTTTTTACAGAAACCAGACTTTCACCAGATGGAAACTGCTAACTACAAGCACATGGACCCCAGACTAATTGAGACCAGAAGGTTGATGATGTTGATGCCCCAAATATCCTGTTACCTCACTACCAACCAATCAGAAGAATGTCCACCAGCTGAGCAGGCACCCTGCAACCCACAACCCTAAAGTTGCCGTTAAAAACCCTTGCCTAATCAAAACTACAATGAGGTACCACCTCACGCCAGTCAGAATGGCCATCATGAGAAAGTCTACGAATAACAAATGCTGGAGGGGGTGTGGAGAGAAGGGAACCCTTTTACACTGTTGGTGGGAACGTAAATTGTTGCAGCCACTATGGAAAACAGTATGGAGGTTCCTTAAAAAACTAAAAATAGAGTTGCCATATGATCCAGCAATCCCACTCCTGGGCATATATCCAGAAGAAACTATAATTTGAAAAGATACATGCACCCGTATGTTTATAGCAGCACTATTTACAATAGCCAAGACATGGAAACAACCTAAATGTCCATCGAAGTTGAACAGATAAAGAAGATGTGGTATATATATATATATATATATATATACACACACACACAATGGAATACTACTCAGCCATTAAAAAGAATGAAATAATGCCATTTGCAGCAACGTGGATGGACCTAGAGATTATCGTACTAAGTGAAGTCAGAAAGAGAAAGACAAATACCATATGATATCACTTATATGTGGAATCTAAAATAAGATACAAATCAACATATCTAGGAAACAGGAACAGACTCACAGATATAAAGAACAGACTTCTGGTTGCTAAGGGGGAGGGGGTTTGGGAAGGGATGGATTAGGAGTTGGGATTAGCAGATGCAAACTATTATATATAGGATGGATAAACAACAGGGTCCTATTGTATAGCACAGGGAACTATATTCAGTATTCTGTGACAAACCATAATGGAAAAGAATATATAATATTATATGTATGTATGTATGTATAACTGAGTCACTTTGCTGTACAGAAGAAATTAACATAACATTGTAAATCAACTATACTTCAATAAAATAAAAAATTTAAAAATTAAAAAAAAAAACAAATCAAACCTTGCCTGAAAGTCATCAGGGGGTTCGGGTCTTTTGAGCACTAGTTGCCCATTCTCCTTGCTTGGTGCCCTGCAAATAAACACTGTACTTTCCTTCACCACAACCTGGTGTCAGTACATTGGCTTTGCTGTGCATCGGGTGAGCAGACCCAAATCCAAGTTCAGTAACAATGTACAACACATTTTAACAAATTCTAAAAGCACAAACCTTTACATTCTCAAGATGTTTCTTCTCTATTATTAATGTGTGAGGGACGTTTCCCGCCTCAACCCCCATCCTCAGGCCTGGGAGGGCAGGCATCAGTGCCCACTACATAAAATCAGGAGGTGTATGGTGCCCACCTGGGCTCATCTCATAAACGGTGATTGGTCATTCCAATCAAAACTCTATTCACTCTCTGAGAACTCATCAAGTCCTCAAAAATTCTAACTCTTTTGCTACTTTTCCCCTTAAAATTTTTAATAGACTTTATTTTCTTCAGAGCAGTTTTAGGTTCACAGCCCGAGTTCAATCCCTGATTGGGGAACTAAGATCCCACAAGCTGCGTGCCAAAAAAAAATTCCATACACATAGAAAAGTTTAATGAATAGAACAACACATACCCATATACTCTCCACCCAGGTCAAACAATTATTAACTTTTTGCCATATTTGCTTGCTCTCTCTTCCTCCCCACCCTGCCACTTGTACTGTTGTTGAATCCTTGAAAGTAAATTTAGACATCATGACTTTTCACCCCTACACATTTCAACATGCATCTTCCAAGAATAAGGACAATCTTCTATAGAGACACAATACCATTATCACATATAAGAAAATTAAGTCTCTGGAAACCCAAATCTCTACACGTTTCATTAAAATGTACATCTCACTTTCATTACTTTAAAAACAATACGGCTGTTACTTGCAATAAGTTTTCCATCCCTGGTAGCAGAAACTACTTTCAATAAGCATTATAAAAATAAAATGGCAAGAGAGGACAAAATTATCATAATCATCAAATTAAAAAAGAACAAAAAGTTAACAATAGTTTCATAATATCATTGAATATATATCTTTGTTTGAACATTCCCAAATGTTCCAAGAATGTCTTCTGAAGCTTAGTTGTGTTTTAACTAAAAGGCAATCTAGGTCCATGCACTGCATTTGGTTGTTATGCCTCTTTAGCTTTTTTTTTTTTGCAGTACGCGGGCCTCTCACTGTTGTGGCCTCTCGCATTGCGGAGCACAGGCTCCGGAGTGCACAGACTCCGGGCCCAGCCGCTCCGCAGCATGTGGGATCTTTCCAGACTGGGGCACGAACCCGTGTCCCCTGCATCGGCAGGCGGACTCTCAACGACTGCGCCACCAGGGAAGCCCCGCCTCTTTAGCTTTTTAAATTTAGAATAGCATTCACAATTTTCTGGGGCAAGACTTAGGCAAGAAGGCACATTTTAGAGTGTCTCACACACACACACACACACACACACACACACAGATCTGGCACTCGGCAATGGTTCAGGACAACCCAAAACCCTAAGCATCAGTTCTTGTGTCTAACACCAGTCAGGCCTCAGAGAAATACTTCTCCACAGCCCTTGCCCTACGTTCTTGAAACAAATATCATAAAGTCCTGTGAGTTGCACCATTATCAAAGCCAGAGATAAACACTCTGTCAAGCTTTGGAGGATGGGAAGGAGTTGAGTGACAGAAGCACTTAGGTAAGAGAAAAGAGGAATTTTCCTCTCAGATGAAAGAACACCGAAAGTTATTGCATAATGAAATATTTCCCATCAGTGAAAAGCATTCTCTCTTTCTCTCTTTCAAATAGTCCAAGTTGTGATTCTGGAGGGATTCATAAATGAGTTTGATATTAGTAGTTGCTCAAGGTAGCTGTGTGGGGTTGAATAGTGTCCCCCCCCAAATTCTTGTCTACTCAGAACCTCAAAATGTGACCTTATTTGGAAATAAGTTCTTTGCAGACATAATCGGTTAAGATAAGGTCATACTGAATATTACAGTGGGCCCTAAATCCAATGACTGGTTTCTTTATAAGGAGAGGAGAGGACACACACACACACACACAGACACACACACACACAGAAGAAAGCCACGTGAAGATGGAGGCAGAGATTGGAGTCGTGCAGCTATAAGGCAAGGAATGCCAAGAGCATTCTTTCATTTCTTTCAGCGATGTTCTGTTATTTTCATTGTACAAATCCTTCACTTTCTTGGTTAATTCCTAAGTATTTTATTCTTTTTGATGCTATTATAAATAGAATTGTTTTTGTAATTTCCTTTTCAGATTGTTCACTGTTATGTATAGAAATGAAACTGGTTTTTGTGTGTTGAATTTGTATCCTGCTACTTTGCTGAATTCATTTGTTAGCTCTGAAAGTTTTTTTTTTTTTGAAAGGTTTTTTTTTGTGTGTGATCTTTAGGGTGTTCTACATGCAAGATGATATATGCAAATAGAGATAATTTTACTTCTTCCTTTCCAATCTGGATGTCTTTCATTTCTTTTTCTTGCCTAACTGGTCTGCTAGAACTTCCCTAGTACCATATTGAATAGAAGCAGTGAAAACAGACATTCTTGCCTTGTTCCTGATCTTACAGGAAATGCTTTCAGTCTTTCACCATTGACTATGGCACTGTGGATTTTTCATATATGACTTTAATTATGTTGAGGTAGTTTCCTTCTATTCCTAGTTTGTTGAGTGTTTTATCATGAAAGGATGTTGAATTCTGTCAAATGCTTTTCCTGCATTAATTAAGATGATCATGTGTGTGTTTTTTTTCTTTCATTCTGTTGATGTGGTATATTACATTGATCGACTTTCATT